GCTTGTTTTTTTTTACTAACCGTGATCAGTATGTAGTTACTTCGGCATCAGTTTGAAACGTGTATTACAATTAAATCACGGTAAAATAGGTTAATTTTGTCGTAGTTGGTTTCCACCACAGTATTTACATAGATATAAGCCCCGCCCCCTCTCCAGCGCGTCCTGTTTGAGTGACAGGAGTAAACACAGCTGACAGCCGCGGTGAAACTCCAGCGGTTAGGGTGAGAATATTCGCATCGCGTCCGTTGTGAACGCAGCATAACGCAGTTCAGAAACCACTGTTCTGACGCTTTTAAAGCAACTTCGAGATTTTAACAGTATCAGGGGAACGCAGGCCATGGTGGCATGGCCGTCATGGCCGCCGTGAAAATCCTACCCTGGTGCACTCGCTGCACTGGCAGCACTCACTCACTCTCTGTATCACGATAGATATGATATCTCTGAAAAGGCATATCGTGGAGACCTAATATCGTCCACCCCTAATTACATAAGATTGATTTTTACACCACCAACCTTAATTGCATGCAAAATAAAGTGATTGCAGTATATTTTAGTTAAATTGTAATAGTTGTATTAGGTATAACATCTTTAATGGCATTTATTTTGGACAGGATCATCACATAACGACCTATTTATATCGTCTCATGCCCAATTAAAATAAACTGTAGTGGTAATAGCTGGAGGATTAGAAGTAATATAATAATAATAGATTCATTTTGTTAGCGCTTTTACAGGTGCTCAAAGACGCTTTACAGATATAGTGAAAAGAAAAGAACAAATAAATATATAGTTAAAGTCAAATAATACAAAACCAATCACACATTAAAAGCCAGATTGAAGAGGTGAGTTTTTGTGAGTTCTTTGAAGGTGGTGAGGTCAGTGCAGTCTCTGATGAACAGTTAGATACGTGATCAGCAGAGGGCTCAGTAGTTGACTCAGTAGTAAGAGAAACCGCAGGAGCAGCAGCTGTTGCACGGGAGCCGGTTATTACAAGAACTACTAGCGCAGGCATATACAAATAATATCCAAATCTATTTCCTTTCCTTCAGCACCGGCTCCGTGAAAAACAACATGTTTGTAGTTTAGACTCAACACAGAGCGATGGCCTTGTGCTGGTACCACATATTGATATATTCATCAATATTATCATTAATAGTCAGATTAGATCCCAAAACAACACCAAGTCAGACTCGCACTTTATATACATTTATATAATAATATTAATAAAAGAACTTCATGTCCAGTTTTAGTAGCTTATATTTGGGATTGCTGCTTATTGAAGTGATGATACGAATAACACTAATGGTCACATAAAGGAGTCAAATGAATGTAAATAGTGTTATTCGTCACAGTTGCTGGTTGTTATTGGTGGACTTGTCGCATGTAAAGGCTTGTCAAACGTCAGGGGTGGGACGTATATAGTATTAAAGGGGCCCTGTTCTGCTTTTTGAGGTTTTCCCTTACCTGTAGTGTGTCATACATGTTTTAGTGCATGTAAATGGTCTGTAAGGCTAAAATCCCTGTTTCCTCCAGATATATTGATATATTGAGTATATTGTGGACTCTCTGGTGTTTTCCTGCTGACGGTGGAAATGAAACCTTTACCTGACCCCCCCCCATGTCTTCCTCCAACATATTCCACCTCCTATTTTTTTCCCCAGCATGCCCACACTCTGCCACTCCAACCACCCACAGAGCAGTGTGTGTGTGTGTGTGTGTGTGTGTGTGTGTGTGTGTGTGTGTGTGTGTGTGTGTGTGTGTGTGTGTGTGTGTGTGTACATGCAATCGAGGCCGGTCCTGCGACAGTTCCATATCACAAGACTGAAAACATCAACATGCCGAGTCTGCAGCAAGGCGCCAGTCACCAGGGAAACAATTCAGCCAGTCGTAAGCACGATATCAAAGGGCCAGTTCACACTCACTGTTCATTCTGCATACTTTAATTAAACTCTGGAGCATTTACTTACTTTGTTTAAGCTGGGAAAATATTTACATTTCACTTTAGTGGAACCAGATACGTGCCACCCTGTGAGCTTAAGGGTTACCGATATTTGCCTGAACCCTGATGCAAAGTGAGAATGTGGAAAGTACATAATATCCTCATCTCAGACGTTGACATCTGGCAGACAATAAAAACACGCTCGACAACAACGTATTCTGAGGTGAATTGCAGCCTCGACTGATACCTCCATGTTGCTCTTCCTTCCTCTACTCTTAACTTGGGAGATACAAAACAGCAAAGACCTGAACACAAGTACGTAATGAAGCTTTGCCTCTTTCCTCGCAGCCAAACCACAACATCTAAAGCCGTTAAAGTGACAGGTTTCAGGACACAGCCGCACTTCACAGATCCCCACAAACCAGTCGAAGGCTGGACTGTCTGCACCTTCTATTTGCAACTATTACAATCATTATAAAACATATCATATATATTATTCTGAAATGGACAAATCTGCACAATGACTACTTTCACTGTCGCTACTTTCACTATATTTAGATGAGAATACTTTCTACTTTACTTGAGGAACATTTTGAATGCAGGACTTTTACTGTAACAGAGTATTCCTACACTCTGGTACTTCTACTTTTACTCAAGTACAAGATCTGAGTACTTCTACTTTTACTCAAGTACAAGATCTGTGTACTTCTACTTTCACTCAAGTACAAGATCTGTGTACTTCTACTTTTACTCAAGTACAAGATCTGAGTACTTCTACTTCACTCAAGTACAAGATCTGAGTACTTCTACTTTTACTCAAGTACAAGATCTGAGTACTTCTACTTTCACTCAAGTACAAGATCTGTGTACTTCTACTTTTACTCAAGTACAAGATCTGTGTACTTCTACTTTCACTCAAGTACAAGATCTGTGTACTTCTACTATTACTCAAGTACAAGATCTGCGTACTTCTACTTTCACTCAAGTACAAGATCTGTGTACTTCTACTTTTACTCAAGTACAAGATCTGAGTACATTTACTTTTACTCAAGTACAAGACCTGAGTACTTCTACTTTTACTCAAGTACAAGATCTGAGTACTTTTACTTTTACTCAAGTACAAGACCCGAGTACTTCTACCTTTACTTAAGTAAAATATCTGAGTACTTCTACTTCTACTTTTACTCGAGTACAAGACCTGAGTACTTTTACTCAAGAACAAGACCTGAGTACTTTTACTTGTACTCAAGTACAAGACCTGAGTACTTTTACTTTTACTCAAGTACAAGATCTGAGTACTTTTACTCAAGTACAAGATCTGAGTACTTCTACTTTACTAAAGTACAAGATCTGTGTACTTCTACTTCTACTGGAGTACAAGATCTGTGTACTTCTACTTCAACTGGAGTACAAGATCTGTGTACTTCTACTTTCACTCAAGTACAAGATCTGTGTACTTCTACTTTTACTCAAGTAAGACCTGAGTACTTCTACTTTCACTCAAGTACAAGATCTGTGTACTTCTACTTTCACTCAAGTACAAGATCTGTGTACTTCTACTGTCACTCAAGTACAAGATCTGTGTACTTCTACTTTCACTCAAGTACAAGATCTGTGTACTTCTACTTTCACTCAAGTACAAGATCTGTGTACTTCTACTTTCACTCAAGTACAAGATCTGTGTACTTCTACTTTCACTCAAGTACAAGATCTGTGTACTTCTACTTTTACTCAAGTAAGACCTGAGTACTTCTACTTTTACTCAAGTACAAGATCTGAGTACTTTTACTTTTACTCAAGTACAAGACCCGAGTACTTCTACCTTTACTTAAGTAAAATATCTGAGTACTTCTACTTCTACTTTTACTCGAGTACAAGACCTGAGTACTTTTACTCAAGTACAAGACCTGAGTACTTCTACTTTTACTCAAGTACAAGATCTGAGTACTTTTACTTATACTCGAGTACAAGACCTGAGTACTTTTACTCAAGTACAAGACCTGAGTACTTCTACTTTTACTCAAGTAAAATATCTGAGTACTTATACTTCTACTTTTACTCAAGTACAAGATCCGAGTACTTCTAATTTTACTCAAGTACAAGATCCGAGTACTTCTACTTTTACTCAAGTACTAGAGTACTTCTCCCACCTCTAGTAAATTGCAATATATCGGTTAGCTGTTGTAAACTTCTAAGTTTGGACTCAACCAAAATGTTTAAACATGAAGTGCTAAAGACCGGTGTAGCTTTGAGTCTTGGTGAAGTCCAGAGCAGTGTTTGCTGCACGATGATGGACTGAATGTAAACTCACATCAGAAGTGAAAGGAGTGCTTTTCTGATTCAAAGGACAGAAAACAAAGCACGCTCTCTTCCCTTTGAAGAGAACAAAGTATAAAAGCACATATTTATGTTCACTTTGACATTTACTGAGACACAAAACTGTATTCAGACGAAGAAAGACTTTGATCTGAAAACACCTGAAAGCCAAATGTCAAAACAGGCTCTGATTGTGAACCAGCATCAGGACACGTTTGGGGAAAAGGCCCCGATGGTGAGGATCGTGATGACAGCTGGAGAGTTTCCAACTAACACAAAGGGGCATTTTTAAACAGTGTCGTGTTGATTCTTGGTCAAGCAGTGTTTTCATGATGAACTGAATTTAAACACGTTCATCAGAAGTTAAATGAGTGAGTGAGACCTCTTTGGATTTAATTGTGAACTGTTGGGTTTGTTTTGTGGGATATTTGAAATATATTCGTGATACAGAATCATTTTGAGTTATATCTTTTCTAATGTCATTCAATGTTGGGTGTTTGCTATGAGTTGTATACACCTTTGTGCAGTACCGACTTACTCAACTGTGACTATTCAAATCTTAAATGTCAGGAGAGAGACCTGACTGACACCCCAAAGGAAAATCAATAAACCTACACAAATAAGTCAAACTGTCGCAATGTACCCAACCCAGCCCCAGGCCCACCCCATTACGAGGGGCATCTTCCCTTTACTGAGACCGAAAACTCTATTCAGACAAACAAAGAGTGTGACGACGGCCTCTTACCTTTCTGGCAGTGGTTGGAGTTCCAGCAGCGGTAGTTGTAGTTGTTGTTGAACATGGTCTTGCTGCACTGAGGGCTGTTCTCCATGATGCCCGGACAAACATCGCTGCACTCCTTCGACTGTTTGTTCCCGGCGATGTAATTGTTGAACTCGGCGTCCAGAATAAGAGACCAATCAACAGAGTCCAGGTAGCAGAGCTCGGGGTTTTTCTCGATCCGAATGGCGCCTCTCGTGATGTTCCTCAGGTTGAGAAGCCCGATGTCCTTCAGACTGGTCATCTCGAAGATCACCAGGGCGTAGTTGTAGAATAAGTTTCGCCCACGGATGACGGCGAGGTTTGGAAACAACGTGCTGAGGCTGTCGAGGCCGGAGACGCGGAACAGCAGCAGGTAGTCGGTGACCATGGTGAGCTTTGGGAAGCTGAGCGAGCGGAAGAACTCCTGGTTGATGTTGTGTTGTTTTTGTCGCCGATGAGCAAGATCTGCAGGTATCCTTCCACCACCGTGCAGTTCTCCAGACGCCTGAACTCACTGATGTCGTTCCCGATGTCGATGCTGGGGCCACAGACTGCAGGAAGGGAAGACAGAGAGAAGATTATGAGGGTGTGAGGGCGAATATTAGGATCGTTTCTGGATTCATCGAGTATTTGTTCAGATTAGATTCCTTTATTGTCACTACACAGAGTACAGCGAAATTCCAAGCATTCCCAGACCGTATAAGTATAATTTTGACAATAAAAGCTAAAAACTTTTAATATAATATATAAAGTGACTATAAATTGGACCTATGATACATTGAACAGAACACTCACAAAACAATACAACATTACCATAAGAATACAAGAACAATACGGTCAAGGCAGTTTAGTATGAAAAATGTCAAAAAGAACAGTTTGAAAAGTCCACTAAAGTCAAGAGGCGCTTTCACACCAAGTACTTTTCCCAGGAATAGTTCCCGGAACTTTGAATTCCTGGAACTATCTAGTAAATCGCAACCGGAATAAGTCCCTGAGGGAGCCGCTGACGTCACTTCCTCTTCTTCTGCTTTGGGTTTACTGGCAGGCCGCAAACCACTTCACGGCGTATCCTGCCACCCGAAGTCCCCGGCAGGAAGTCCCCGAAGTTGGGCGATTTACTTCTGAGTAAATCGCCAGAAACGCCGACACCTCCTCATCTCCACCGCTCCCATGTTTTATTTTGTGTTGCTGTAAGTTAGTCTCTCTCCGTTGGTGCGCGGGGCTAATGCTAATGCGAATAATGCTAATGCAAGCAAATAAAATGGCGGCTTCACAAAAACTTTTCAGAGTTTTACGGGGCGTGGTTTGCAATTCGCCCAGCCAATCAGAAATTGGAACCTTTTTCTCCCCAGGAAAGTACCCCCTCTCTAGCAGGGACTACAAGGTTTGCAAAAAAAAGTTCTAGTTCCAGATCTTTTTGGTGTGAACGCAAAATCCCAGGAACTATCGGAACTATTCCTGGGAAAAGTACTCCGGTGTGAAAGCGCCTAAGGATGATGAAAAAAAACAACTCCTTGATATAAGGATAATTTGTAATGACGTTAGTAAAAACCATGATAAAGATATCCCTTAAATAGTGGGGCCGCAGACTGCAGGGAGGGAAGAGGAAGAGAAGATTAAGGGCTCTGAGAGCGAATTATAATATATTTTTTAAACTGTTTGAAAAGTCCGCTAAAGTCTTTGGTTTTGTCCAAAAAAAACTATTCAGTTTAATAAAGAGCTCCTTGATATGAGGAGAATTTGTGATACGTTGGTAAACACCATGATAAGGATATCAATTAGAAAGTTATTCAGTGCACTTAGTTTTGCCATTTTCATGCGTTTCGTGCACTGCTTGCTGAATTATAAATATATTCTTTTATTTCAACAAATTGAGCTAAACATCCAAAGGCATAGTTACAGTTAAAGTGAAGCTTTTAAATGTATTGACTGTATTAACTAACGAAAGAATACTCTGCCTGAGTACCAATGTATCGCAGAATAAAACACATGTAACCTATTTGTGCAGCCTGATTTTGAAATGAAATAATATAGAAAAAAGCTGAATATCTACATTTGTGAGACTGACAACAACATTTTAGCCTTTGCAGCCCATTTACATGCACTAAAACATATAGAACACACTAAAGGAAAGGGGAACCCCTAAAAGCATGTTATGTAATGTGTAAAACACCTAATTTGCTGTATTCTCATACATTCTTTATGCTGTATACGTTCATTTAATGGTCTCCACATGGAAAATTACAGTTTCATTAAACAGAACACCTTGAAATGTCTTCACCTATTTGCATTAATACCCGTCTAATGTACCAACTAACAAAACCATGTTCTGAAATAGTGATGTTTTTCAAAAGATGTTTGTTTTCATACATTTATTTTCAATATTGACAGAACACTAAAGCTGCGCTGTTGTTGACCGAATGTGTTTGCCTTTCCAATGCTCCTTTAACATGGCGAGACAAAGTAAACACTTGAGTCACGCTCTCTTCAACCCGGGGTAAGCAGCTCCATAAAGTTTACATTGCTCTGCTTTTAGCCTATTCTCGCTCTTCTTCACACACACACACACACACACACACACACACACACACACACACACACACACACACACACACACACACACACACACACACACACACACACACACACACACACACACACACACCACACACACACACCACACACACACACACCACACACACCACACACACACACACACACACACACACACACACACACACACACACACACACACACACACACACACACACACCACACACACACACACACCACACACACACACACACACACACACACACACACACACACACACACACACACACACACACACACACACACGATCAAAGGACAAAATGAATCATGCTTTACAAGAACTAAGGGATCGTCATTCTCTATTCAACAAAGGTTTAATATTTAAGTGGTGCTTTATTCCAACGATGGCTGACCGGGGCAAACGTGCAACAACGGTCCTTCCATTCGGAGAAACACGCAGCTGCTTCAGAAACGAGTTAAATATAAAAACACAATCTTGAACTCACTGAGAAATATTCAAAAACGGTAGTAAAATAAATAAATGTTTGCTTTTGTCTCAGGATTTGTCTTTTTGGGGGTTTCTGTCATAGCAAATAGAAAAAGCGTACCCCTACTCCACTATGCTGCACTGTGCACCCCTGCACACTAAATGAGGAATTATTAAGAGCAACATTGTAATTCCAAGAATGGAAATCCAATCAAATCCTGAGATAATGAAAGTTTCAAATGCCAGCTGAAGTTGGTAGGATTCATCCTCTGGAGACCATGAATATACCGTCAAATTGCAATACATCCCAGTGTTTCCCCTAGGATGGAGTCATAGCAGTGGTGCTAAGGCCCAGCATTATGTGAGTGCGGAGTGCGTGGAATTTTTGAGTGTGTGCGCGAGCGAAGTGCGCCCCGCCAATTTGTTTCTATGTGTCAGCACAAGAAAGGCTCTTGAGGCCTAGCACCAGGGCCGGTTCTAGACTATTTGATGCCCTAGGCGAGAATTTATAAAGAATAAATGAAAAATCTCTACAAAAGACAAATACACAACAAATACAGAAACGTATTGACATAGGTGATATACGTCAACATGGCTTCAAATGTATTCAGTATTGTATGAACATGTTTGAATTGGGGGGTGGATGTCACATCCTCTAGGGGGGTCCGGGGGTATGTCCCCCCGGGAAGATTGAACATTTTAAAGTAAAATGCTTCAATCTGGTGCACTTTGAGCCCAATCACTAGAGACCTGATCTAGGGGGTACAACTTTAAAACACCCATATGAAAAAGGATCGGTTTACATTTTAATAATCAAATAAGTATGTGAACATAACCAATAACCTACCATCGCCAATAACAAATACATGTAACTTATTTGATTTTTGTTGTTCATTTATATCTTATTTTACCAGTTAAGATGTATTAATTTATGCATATTTTTTGTATCTCTCTGATAAGCCAACATCCCCCACTTTCATCACTTACAGCGCCTATGTAAAAAATCGGCCCTGCCAGTACATACAGTGGCAATGTCTCAAGATTTAACAGAAATACACCCATCAAAAACAATCAAAAACGAAAAAGGGTCAACCATTTATTTTTATTAATAATATATAGCTGCGCTATTTCTATATAGGGGAAACACTGCATCCATTACTTATTGCAAGATTTGAAGTCAAGCTTTAGTTGTAAGACTGACAGACCCAGCCTGCTAAAAATGGTTTGAAAAGGAAGTTTTAAATCAGTGTAGCACCCCCCATCTGATCAGTCTGTAGCCGTGTTTGCATGCACTATGTATGATGTACTGAATTTAAACACTTACATCAGAAGTGAAAATTAGTGCTTTATGATCAAAGGACCGAAAACAAAAGCACTGCAGTCTTCCCTTTGAAGAGGACAAATTGTAAAAAGCATATATTTATGTTAATTTTCACATTTACTGAGACACAAAACTCTATTCAGACAAAGAAAGACTTTGATCTGAAAACACCTGAAAGCCAAATGTAAAAGCAGACTGATAGTGAACCAGCATCAGGACACATGTTGGGGTAAAAACACTCGGGTGATGACAGCTGTGTGCTCTAAAGTCTAAACCAGTGGTTCTCAACCGGCCTCAGGACCCACTCTTTTTCTTCGTCAATAAATCACGACCCAAAGGTCTGAACCACTCACATCTATTTCACCAAAAATAGTGCAGCGGCTCAATCCGTAGGGGCTTGGACTGAGAGCCGTAGGGTCGCCGGTTCAAGTCCCCGACCAGACCTAAATATGGAGTGTGGACTGCTACTTGGAGAGGTCCCAGTTCACCTCCTGCCCTGCCGTGGTGCCCTTGAGCAAGGCACCGGACAATCCCCTTCCCCCCTCACTCCCATTGCTCACCGGGCGCTGTACAATAGCTGCCCACTGCTCCTAGTGCTAGACTCCTGGTGCTAGGATGGGTTAAAAGCAGAGAACACATGTCACTGTGTGTGCTCTGCATGTGTGACCATTAGAGAGGGGTTCATCCTTCAATTCTTCTTAGTAAAATATAAGCTTCTCAGCATCCACTTTAAAGTAAAGTGAAGAACAGCACATACATTTTCAGTAAATGTAGTCTGCAGTGAGAGTTCCCAAAGAAATGTTGTTGTACTTTGTATGATGACAATAAAGATATATTCTATTCTATGGGAACAAAACCACAACATTGTTAGTGCCATGCAAGGCAGAATATATCCCTTCACAGAACTAAAGTATGCTTTTTTAAATGATGGTCATCAAGTTTCTAGAATCAAAATGGAACTGTATTAAATAAAGGCATATTTGTCTTGTATTAAATAAAAAGGCAGACTCGCACATCCACTCGTTGAGAACCACTGCTCAAACAACCCAGCGCCCGGAGCAGCTCAGAAACATGGAGGCCATTATCTCTCTGTGAGGAGGCTCAGACTTCAGACGCTCGGAGTCATGGAAACTCTCACCCAGCTGCTAACAGGTTATCACACTCCTGCTGCAACGCTATAAACTTTTACT